AAAAGATCATGGCTGAGGAGTACACAGGCATCAAGAGTATCTTAAGATGAGTAGAAGGTAACACCCCTCCCCCAAGGCCCAGCAGACTAACTGGGTTGAGAAGGAAAGATTAAGTCAAATCTACTAAGCTTTAAGGAAGACTGCAGTAAGTATAGCAAAAGGTCACACAATGACATCAATGCTCAACATCAGCAAGAACAAGAAGCCTCCTTGGATGAGGAAGCTTCATGCAAACACACACCACCTGCCCCATTGCCTGAACACTGGGGGCTTTAGGTACAAACTGATCTTTCCATGCAAGGTTTATTCTCTCTCCCTCTGGTTTCTTTTCCCTCTGAAGTTCTGACAAGGTCTTGGGATGCAGCTACAAGACAAAGGGTTCAAGAAAAAGAATTGTATGGGGCAGAGTAACTCACCTTCTTGCTTTTCTAGACTGTCTTTGCCAGCACAGCAGTCCAAATGATCATCGGCCAAAGAAAAAATCTGGGAAAAATTGAACTCATCCTCTCCTGTCCACCACTCTTGACTCTGAGCATAAGTCCTGAGTTCTGGATGCTCTGCGTCCAGCTTAGTGGTGAGTGAAAGCTGATTGCAAATGCTCCTCACACCCTCTGTGGAGAGTGCAATGCCCAGTTAGTGAAAGGAACTCTACAGTTACAGAGAGGAATCAGTTCCATCTTTGTTTTTTGTTTGGTTGTTCGGTTGGTTGTTTGAGGTGGGGTCTCTCTGTAGCCCCAACTACCTGGTTTTGTAGACCAGGCTGGCTTCCATCTCACAGAGATCTGCCTGCCTCTGCCTCCCAAGTGCTGGGATTAAAGGCATGTACCACCACACCCAACTTCAGCTCCATTTTTGAGGAAATACATAATCCTTGATCCTCCCTCTAAACTTCCTAAAAGGTTCAACCTGTCTTGAGGCTGAAGATATGGCTCAGTGGTTAATAGCACGGGCTGCTCTTGCAGAGAATCTAGGTTTGGTTCCTAGCACTGCATGGTGGCTGGCAACCATCCATAACTCCAGCTCCAGGGGATCTAATGCCCCCTTCTGACCTCCATAAGCATTTCATTACACGGGTGTGCTTATACACATGCAGGCAATACACTCATGTACATAAAAAATAATAATAATAAGCCAGATGTGGTGGCACATACCTCTAGTCCCAGCACTTGGGAGGCAGAGGCAGGTGGATCTTTGTGGGTTCAAGGCCAGTCTAGTCCAACACAGTGAGTTCCAGGCCAACTGGTGTTACAAGGAAACCCTGTCTCAAAAAAGCAAAAAAAAAAAAATTTTTTTTTTTAAAAAGGTTCAGCCTGTCTCAGCCAGCCATTATTACAGTTTAGGTGAGCATCACCTTTACTGACCTTAAATTCACAATCAGAGTGAAATACCCAAGGCCCTTTATGCTGACCAAATAAATTCTAAGCATCCATGCATCATCCATTGCTTACAAGAAAAAATGAACAGTTCTTTAAAAGAGCTACAGTGCTAACCAGACTCGGGAATCTGTATGTGACTCCTTTACCGGAATACTCTATAGCACCCACAGCCGCCTCCTCCTCAGGCAGATTCTCTCCCACCTGGAGGAACACTTCTGCCACTCCCATCCCCATCAGACCCAAATAAAGAGTGACTTGGTCCCCGCACTTCAAGATGCTGTACAGCTCAAAAGGACAGTTCACAGTTGTCACTCTTAGGGAACATGCTGACCTTCCAAATTCCTGGATAATGAGATATGGAAGAATGAAGGAGCCTAAAGTACAATTTACAGTAAAGCCATTACAGCCCGAATCCCGGTCCCTAGGGACAAGAGCAGCACTGGACAGAGTTTTCCCAGGATGCTTTGCTTCACTGATTTATACCTCCAAAATATATATTCCTGGCTGAGAGGTGTTGGTCGTTGGCCATTCATTTTTTTAAGTGGGTATCACTAAAGTAAAATTATAATTCAACAATAGAAAACAGTTATGGTCCAAACAAGTGATTTTGGTATCCGCTAGACTCATCTATTAAAAGATAACAAGAAAACTTCTTGGAAACAACTATGCAGATGTTATTTTCCTAGAGGGCTGCTTTATAACAGGCATTTGCTCTTGAGTACCAGCTCTGGGAAGTCAGACTACATTAACTCCTACTGCCATCAATCTCAGTGCTGCTGGAGTTAGAGGATATGAAATCAATCAGTCAAAAAAGATGGCTTTCTGAAAAGATGTTTAGTGAAAGACAACATTCATTAGGTAGAAATGGATTTTTTTTAAGCTATACTTTGAAGGAATCCCAGCTTCTGAAACATAGTTGTAGATCAAAAAAGTCTTAGATTTTACTTAAAAGCAATTAGACTACTTTGAAGTATAGCCCAGCAGCTTTCTTGAGACACCACTCAATAGCATGACTTCATCTTAGGGTTTGTGTAAAAGGGTTTTAAGTTCCTGCATTGAAGGCAAGCTGGCAGTCTGGGAAGGGGGATACACAGCCTACCTTTGTTCTGTGAATACTGTAAGAGCTGAGCAAGCAGGCACGGGCTCTGCATATTATATACTGGGCACATAAAGGTAGAGAAATGCCCTGTGGTGCTGAAGGCACTGCCAGCCCATTCTGAACCCCATGAGGATGAACAGACACAGGCTTCACACACAGAGGTCAGAAAATCATTCTAGACTTCTTGGCCTCAGCAGGGCAACTGTGTATAGGGTACAATGCACCAATCACCCAGGGGAGCCCTTGTTACCAGAATCTATACACAGAAAACATGCTTCACTCCAAGTGACTGCAGGAGATCTGATTCCAACTGAGGTTAGATTTGATTCTAATCACCTAAAAACAAAGGTGACAGATTGCACACATAATATCATTTATGATAAATTGGAAGAGAATTCATGATAAGCAGTAGAAAAAATATGTAAGTCAAGTAGAGGTTCAACAAGAAAAGAGTGCATCGATCTACTAGCTGTGTCTGCTAGTGGAGAACAGCAGTGCACATGACCTGTATTTACCATCCTGTCCTAAGGAATGCAAAGGGACCAGTTTTCTTTTGGAACCATGGAGGATCCTTGGAAGTCATTTAACCAATTCCAGGATTCTATCCCATTGAGAATATGAGAGAGAGCACTGAGGTGATGGTGGACCACCACCACTCCCACTTCAAACATCTCTTTCCAGCACTGTCTCAGAAGCAAGAATGTGCAGGGGCCACAGAGCAGCACTTCTCATTGTGGATGGCCATACTCAGTGCTCTTCTAGGAACAGTGTCTCAGACATGGCCTAGTTGGCCCTGAGTGCAATTCAACACTCTCACAGATCCAAGCTTCCATTTTGAGGAACAGTCTAACCATAAGCATTTACAGGGATGGGAGTGACAAGAGATTTGCTGTCTTGTAAGGATGAAGATTCCCCATTTTTCTGCCCAACTCATAGGTGTGGTTTGTAGAATAAGATGGTTTGGGATGTTCTGTGTGATATACACACAAAAAAATCAACAAATTTAAAAAATGAATTATATTTGAGAAGGAAGCATAAAAATTTACGTCATGTTAATTAGTAAAGGTGATAAAACATTACCATTGAAATCTACCCAATGACTTTATAGCCATACACGGGTGCCAAGGATCAGAGTGCAACTGACTATGACTAGTAACTATCAGATACATACAGATTAGAGACTCATGTGCCAACATCTCAGTGTTATTGCCAAAAACAATGAATCTTTCTGTAAGAAACAGTATATTTTAAAATGAAATGGAGATCTTTTTTAAAAGTTAAAAACTCATTCAATTTTATGTTTTACAGGACTGAGTTCAATATTGTGTAACTGTATTCATTGAACAGCAAACCTAAAAATTTTATAGCACTTTTTGAAAGAGATGTATCTTTGCTCTGGAAATTGTTATTGAGTATGTTAAAGCTGTAATGAAATGCTTCTTCTAAAAAAGTAAAAAATAAATTAAAGAACTGAGTATTCCCAGAAAGCAAACAGAAAATGTGAAATGCTAGGTGTGTGCTTCCCGAGTCTTGATATTCCTTTATCGTACATTCAAGGGATTCCAGGTATACCTCCAGAAACAGGTACCCGGATGTAAGAGGTGTTCGTAACCTGGAAGGGTGGTACAGAGGACACAACCCAGAAACCACTGAGTCAGCCAGTATGTCCAATCAACACCTCAGCATTTCCTACCCTCAAAGCTCTTCATCCTATAACCCCTCACCTGTGATCTTCTCGGCAGCCCAGTACTTCCCGACAGTCTCCAGCACCCAGGCTTCATCACGATCCACCAACAGATATGCACTTTGGAAGCTCTGACAGGAGTGGCTATCTTCATAATAATTCCCGCCTTGTCCGTGTTCTTCCAACAAGGAGACAATGATGTCTAAGGCTTCTTTGGCTGTTGTCCCTCGCTCTAAACCAAGCCTGAAGGAAATCAGAAGTATACCTCCATTATTTAAGACCATGTGATCATTACCATAGCAACAAAGGCTGGGATCAGGCTGAGTCAAGAAGCATGTCAATGTGTGCAAACATATTAGATATGGAGATCAATATTCGAACTTATTAGCAGCTCTATAACTCAGAATGCCTCCTTCACACATCTAGTTACAACTCATGGGAGTATTTTCTGTCTTTAGATAACCCCCTTCTGTAAAAACAAAAATATCAGGAGCTACTAGCCCCTATCTCTGGACAGGAGGATCAACTCCATCTTCTCTTGACTGGCCCCACTTCCCATGGAACTTTCCAGCTCAGCTCTAGCCCTCAGTAAGACTCTTTTCCTATGGCTTGTGTTCCCCCCTGACTTCTGCCTAAGTAAAAGTAAATACTTCTTCTTTTCCCCAAACTAGATGGCCTATAACTCCACAGAGGATATTTTGGTCATTGCTATAGCCCATTTGACTCCTCAAAATGTATGTTGAAAACCTAACACCAGTGAGATGGTATTAGGAAATGGGCCTTCTGGGAGATTATGAATCATGCGGGTGGTGTCCTCATGAGTGCCAGTAGTGTCTTTTATAGAAGAAGCCTCAGAGAGCTGTCTTCCCTCATTCCACCATGTTAGGACACAGTAAGTAGGTGCCATGTGTGAATCAGAAAATGAGTGCATATTAGACATCAAATGCTGACTGACTGATCTTAAACTTCCCTGCTTCTAGAACTATGAGCAATGAGGTTCTATCGTTTATAAGTATCCTGCTTAAGGCATGTTGCTATAGCATCTTATAGTGGACTAAGACAACTGATAATGTGTGTGGGTGCCAGCCACTCAGTGCATATAATTTGCTTTGGGATCTCACTAGAAATGAGTGGCTGGTTAGGCTATCACTGACAATTTTTCTATGTACATTCCTCCAACCCATCAGATTACACCTATTGATGTAGCCTACACCATTCATTATCAAAAGAGCAAAGATTCCTTCTAAAGTAAGACAGCCATCCTCCTTCCCCTGACCCTATCAATTAATAAACCTCTTAGAGAGAGTGCAGACACCGTCCTCTGTGTGACCTTGGGCAGCTTACATAAGAGATTTGAAATTCAGTTCCATGCTATCCATAAAGAGTGTCTAGGCCATTGGAGTGCTATGAATACAAGTGTTGTAAAATAATAAACATGGGACTGAAGAGATGGCTCAGTGGTTAAGAACACTAGGTGCTCTTGCAGAGGGCCCAGGTTTAATTCCCAGCACCCACATGGTGGCTAAGAACTGTCTGTAACTCTAGTTCCAGGGGAATCTGATGCCCTCTTCAGACCTCTGTGGGCATTTCATGACATGGGTGCACTTACATACATGCAGACAATACATTCATACACATAAAATAAAAATTATAAATAAAAGTTTTAAAAATAAATAAAATATTGAATTCAGTATAAACCCTATAAGACATAAAATTGAATGAGGTTTTAAGCTTTAAAAAAGATCTCCATTTCATTTTAAAATATACTTGTTCATACAGAAAAACTCATTTTTAATGCTACTAACGCTTAGATGTTTGCACATGTGTCCCTAATCTCTATGTATCTGATTATTACTAGTCACAGTTGGTTACTTTCTGAGATCCTTGGCACCTGAGCATGGATATAAAATCATCTGGTAGATTTCAATGGTAATGTTTTTCACCTCCACTAATTAACATGAAGCAAATTTTTATGCTTCTTCCTAAAATACAACTCATTTTTTTAATTTGTTGATTTTTTGTATTTCATAGAGAATATTCCAAACAATCTTATTCATCTATATACCCACTTCCCAAATGGCACTCTCCCATAGCCTCTCCCTTCCTACATACTGGAACTCATATACTCTGTCATCCCTGTTACTGTCCACTGTGTTGTTAGCGCTCCCAGCCATTCCCCAGTGATTCTCCATCTGCTGAATCTAGTCAGCCTATCTAGAGTTCCTTGTTTTAGGAAGATCAACTGTTCCTTATCTAGCAGCAATAAGTTGCCAATATTCCTTTAGATAAGATTGGGGTCTGCTGTTCATTTTCCCAGTTCTATGCTGGGTTACTGTCTGGGAGTCTCTTGGGCCACCCTGGCCAACAACTCAAAGGAAGGTATCTCCTGTCTGGTATTGTTTCTTGTTATGTAGCCTTTAGCTATACACATGGACTCTTAAAGAATCATACTGACCCCTTTAATCTTTGGTTATAATTTCCTTTTGGGTGTTTAAGACCATACAGTTGGCCCAGATAAACCAATTTATTTTTACTCTTATGGTCGTTTGAGGATCTGTTCCCCAGGGGTCACATGGGCTTAGGAGGCCCCCCTGGCTCCTTTCTTTTACCAGTTCTGCCTATGTGAAGATAAGTCAAAGGTCCTGCTTGACTTTGGCTGGGGTTCACTTGGAAGCATGGAGGAAATCCTTCCTCTGTGTTGACCCTCCTCTTTGTAGACTGGACACTGGTTCAAATCCATTTGGTGGAGTCTCCATGGCCTACTTGATCAAGAGGACAGGTGACCCACCACAATTACAGGACATTTTGGGAGATGCTCATAGTCCCCTGGAACTAGTTAACCTAGGAGGGCAAGGAGCAAAACCTGTCCTTTATGTCCCTCTGAACAAATTAGTATAGGCATCAAAGTATGTCTGTTAAACATCCAAGAAGGTTAGTTCCACCAGTCTTTTACTTTTGCTTACTGTGTGCCATATAGATAAATATTGGGCAAAGACCAATTGTTCTCAGATAAACATTTGTTACTGAGATATGTTAATGCTGTAATGAAATGCTTCTTTTAATCATGTGGTTATTAAATAAATAATTTTAAAAAATAAAGTAAAAAACTCAAGAAATTAATTAATTAATTAATGAACATGAAAACATAGAGCACTGATGCTTGGAATCAAGCAGGCAATAAGACAGCTTCAGCAGGCAGAACACTGGCACAAGAAGACACAATTCAGAAACAAATGACACAGCTCTAGCTCTGCTTATGCCACACACTGGCAATAATATGACCTTTGCAACTCTTTGTCCTCATATCAGACACCCCACCTCCTTCTCAGGCTGTTATGATGGAGGACGCAACGTGAGACATATTTAGTTCACTTATTCATCAGTGCAGTCAGACTATTGCTCTGCCAGCAAGAACTCAGGTCTTAGAACAGGCAACAGAGTCACTTCGATGGTGGTATAAGCCTGGCCTTGATGAATTTATAACTTGAGAAATAGCCATGGAAATTCTCCCAACTGAGTGCTTCCTGAGGGATGTTCCACTGTTCTGTCATGGAAAAACTAATGCAACCACAAGCTGTCAACTGATTCTTGAAATGGGCTTATTATGTTCATAGTCTGATCATCACAGACAAGTTCACTTGACAGTTCTCATTTTAAGCTTAGTTAGGAAGACTTGGTTACATAGCCATAATTTACAAGGTTGAACCTTAAGGCCTTGAAAGAGTGATAAAAGATGGTGTTTCATAAAGATGATAGCTGAGTTTTCACATTGGTGTCTGAGACCACCCTCCCTCAGTCCTTGTTACAAAGTTGACACATTATCCATCTGGCATTAGAAAAAGAACAAATTCAATGACATCACACAGTCAGTAGATTTCCCTTATCAATGTCTTCCTTCTTAAAAACAAGCGGTTGGCTTATCTCAAGGATGTGGATCTGAAGCAAGGTCCTTTCCAGGGTCCCTGGTAACAGTACCTCATGCCTCAATGCCCCAGGGCCTGTCAGGCCCTAAGTGACCCATGCAAACATATGTTGGATACATGTGACGATGGTCATGTGCAACAGCTCCGTCTTTGGAGGTTAGAACCTCTCCTGCAGATTCTAATGTCCTCTGGTGATGTTCTGTCTGTTTATGTCCCACTAAGGCCCCCATACTTGTTCTTTTCCTTCATCCCAACATATACACATAGTTCTGATTTCACTCTATTGCTTCTCAGACAAGGACTATGGGTTAAAAGCTATGCCTATAACCAATATGACCATTCCTACTTGGTCTTCTGGCCATTCGATAAGGACACGACTGCCCACTCCACAGTACAAGGGTAGGGAAAGGACTACACACTCTCCACCTGAGCCCAAGGGGTACAGATGAATTTCAAGTCACTGGACAGGAGGATATGCCACATCACTCAACATCTATTTTTAAAGTCATTTCCACCCCCTCACCTCCTAGATGGAGTAGAAATACAGGACTCCACATGAGGACAGCACTTTGGAGGCACAGTTCCTAATTTTGTTTTAGTGGCTTCACCTTAGCCTAGAAAGGACTAGGACAGGAAAAGGAGTGGAACTGGAAGGGTCCAGGTCAGTCTCCTTCAGACATCTATGTTCAGTGTGGTTTATATCTTCCCAAAGGATGGCCAGGGTTTTCTGGGTCTAAGAATTAGATGTTCCTGAATTCAACTCTTTGTTTCATGGAAAAAAAAATATTTGAGGCCCATGGCTTGCTCACATATGGGTCAAGCTTAGCCTGCCCATTCCTGAAAGGTGTATACATCTTCCTGAGGAAGCTGAGTAACACCTACCCTTTTGTTTAGGAACTCTGCTTGCTGATCTTTTCCACATCTGTCCCTCTATAAATCTGAAGGAGACTTCAATTTATATCTCAAATAAGGAAAATTTAGATTGACTTTGGTAAACCATTGTTACTCTGGGGAAAGTAAAGAAAACAGTCAATACCCCTCCCCTTAGAGGACTCTGATGCAAGTCACCCTCCCTACTCCCCACAACCAATACGTCAACTCCTCTGAGTTCATAGCCTTTTGGAAATTTAGAAGATTCTTGGTCTTCAGCCAGGAGTGGACACTTGAAGGTGATGCTGGGAACTGATTATATGCCCACTCCCCTGGAAGATGACCTCTAAATGTGGGGTGTTGGGAGGCTTTGGGAGGTGATTAGGTCATGAGCGTGGAGTCTTTGTGATGGGATTAGGATCCTTAGCAAAGAGACACAAGAAATTGTCCTCTCTCTGCTGTGTAAGGACACAAAGGGCAGATGGTCATCTGTACATCAGATACAGATCTGTTGGGACTCTGATATTGAACTTCCCAGCACTCAGAATTGAGAAATAAACCTGTCGTTTAAACTGCCCCATCCAAGTCTGTGGTATATCTGTCATAGCAGCCCAAACAGATAAGAAAAGTGGTAAGTGGATGCTATGCACTGCATGGGCTTTGGTGTATTAAAAATTATGGAAACTTGTTTTGGACTGAGCTTCTGCACTAGTTCCCAGCTGACCTGTCCAAACCAAAATGGGGTTGCTCCTGCTAAATGTCCCATAATCAAACTGAAGCTTTGGAGAAGGTGGAGAGATCTCAAAATAGTCTCTTTCTGGAGAGCAATGAATTCCAGTCTACGTGAGTGAGCATAAGGAAGTCCTTGCAGCTGTAGTCCTTACAAAAAGTAACCTGAAGTAACCTCATTCTAACCAGCTTCTCTTTCTTGTACCTCTATTTTTCTGTTTCCTCTTCTTCACTTTGTAAAGGCATTGCTCTGTTCTGCTTTGGCCTGGTGGGGGCCCATATTCTACTTTACACAATGATGTCTGAAAGACAACTCAGCCTAAAACTAAAGATGTTGTCATCTCGCCTTTGACAGGGGAAAGGATATGTGAGACTTTTTCCATCTCAATGCTCTGTCTCATTGAGAGAAGTAGGTGTGAGCTAACTAGACAGAAGTGGTGCCCTGGGACCTTGGGCAAGCCATTTAACTTCCCTAATGATCCATTTCCTCATCTGCACAAGGAATTGAACAGACCTTGTTTCTCAGGTTGATGTGATTGTTAAGTGAAATAACATACACAAAGCCTGTCTCCCCATATTGTTCTGGAAATTGACTTTAATTACATAGGTGCTTCCCTCCTGCAGGTTATTGACTGAGCCTCCCTTCCAATCACCTGTGAGCTCCCACATTCACTAACAACCTATAACCAAACTGTAAGACTTTCCACACCTTCCCTGACTGCTTTCCAAGAACTTCTATGGTTTCTAACATGAGGAATGTCTGATGTGCTCAGAATTATAAGAGGCTCTGAAATACTGAGACTATCTGTATTTTAATGCCAATATTAAACCCAGTTAGAGGTAGTAAAAATTCGTTTGCAGAAGCTGAAGAGATGGCTCAGAGGACCATAGTTCAAATACCCCAAACCCATGTAATGCTTGGTGGCTCACCTGTAATTATAGCCTCAGAAGGTGAAGCCAAAATCCCCAGAGTAAGCTGGCAAGTGAGGTTAGTCACACTGGAGAGCTCTGAGTTTGCCTGAGAGACCCTGCCTCAAAGAATAAGGTAGAAGAGCAATGGAGACGGTCTCCTGACATCAACCTTGTCCTCATGCATGCACACACATACATGCATGCATGCACATCACACACACACACACACACACACACACACATACACATGAAAAGAAGGAAAAAAATCAGACCAGAAAAAGAAAGGATAAAGCAGGCATGCAAGGGGAAGAAGAGGCACAGCATGTGGAAAGAATGGAGTCCTGGAGTCAGGGCACCTGCTCAGAGAGCAGAGGGTTGCATTTGGGGATTTTGAGCTAGTTGCTATTCCTTCAGTAACTTGGTATCTTGAAATCTATTATGGTGGTAAGACTATTTATACCACAGGTGTTGGAAAAGCTGCTGCCCCACTTCTAGCTGATTATTAGGTATTTTCCAGCATACCACTGACTAATGGATTCCAAAAGCCTCCCAGTCCTCATCTGGATTGAGGTCAGGAGGCATTATCATGGCAGATGGACCTCAGTTGCAAAGCACCTTGGGTATAAGAGACACCTTGACTTCCAGAAAATAAATCCCTATCTTAATGTTGGCTGCTGTCAGCTGCTTGGTACTTGGATCCACACTCATTGAACATGCAAAAATGTGTGTATGTGTTTGTATTCCTTTGTGGAGGAAGGGGATTAGTAGTTGAAGTCATACAGAGATCCATGAATAAAAGAGGGAGAAGGGAGGGAAGGAGGGAGGGAAAGGGGATGGGAGGGAAACCAAAAGTAGACAAAGCTTGGCTTTTAGCCCCAACATCACTGGGAACAAATTATAACAAGTGTTGCTTAATGCTTGCATTCCCACAAGCCTCTAAGAAGCACATAAAAATTATACCTTTACTTTGAAAACAGTGCCTATTAAATTGCTGCTGCCATTCATTTTTGTCTCTTGCAGCTGAGCTTGGACTTAATGTATGGATGGAAGGCACAAAGGACCAGAGTACATAGAGGGGGAGTCGCTATAGTCTTTGAATAATCACCCACAGTCTCACAGACACTTGAAGCAGAGTGTGAAACCTAAATATTCTACTCTGCAGGAACTGTCCAGGAAGAGCAGGCAGTCAAGCACAGAGAACAAGCAAGGACAGCGCAAGAAACGATGCCACACACGGTGCCAGGTCTTCTTCTCTAGAAGACCCAGAGCACCAGGAGGAGGGCACGAGCATGCAGCCAGCCCACAGGAAGTTCCTCTGAAGCAGGATTCTCTGCCTTCTGCTGTATCTGCCTCCTTGTTGAGACAGACTGTAGGTCCTGCCCACAAGCAGTAAGTAGGGACTGTGAATTTGCCTTTGCAGCAAGCTCCCAGGCAGTGCTTGTTTAGTATTTCCCTAGAATCTGACCACTCGAGGGTCTGTGGTTTGTGATCACAGCATCCACATTTCTGCAGCTCCCCAGTTAATTAAACAGGAAGACTTCAGGTTCAGGGGTCACTTCTACAACTTGCTTGGTATAAAATGGCCCCTTAGAACTGACTAGGCTTGGCTAAACTGACTGATGATAGCCAGTTTAAAGCTGGGACCAGACTCTGAACTAGTCTTTTAATTCAGAGATCCACTCCAACTACAGGCTGCTGTGCAACCCGACTCCGAAGAGGCTGCCAGGGTAAGGCCAGGGTCAGGGTCCTTATCACACCCTTATTATTGCAATAGTTATACTGACAGAGCAAGCCAGGAGAGAAGTCAGACTTAAATAGCTATGGCTCCGGTCTCCCCTGTCATCCACTGCATATGTTATTATCCCAGACCGGCTAACTCTCACAGCACCAATTCTGTGCCATCCCTCAGCCTTGCAGATCCACGTCAAGCACACCTCCTCCAAGCATCCCAAATGTAGCCAGGCAGGGGCAGTCTCTGAACACTCAGCAGTGTTTATGGAGGGCTAACCTTGGAATTCTATGCCACACAGTAGCATCAAGTCCCAGATCTCCATGTTATCATCAGTCACACTTAGAATTTGTGTTGTTCTCTTTTCTCTGTAAGCAAACTCCTACAACCTCTTTGCAGACTTGAGCTTCTTCATGTGCCCACAGGGTCATAGTCAGCAGGCCTGTGCTGCTTTATGGGGCTGAGAGTCTTAGAAAGTTAAAAACTAAGGCATAGAAGGGGCTAGAGAGATGACTCAGTGGTTAAGAACACTTGTGGCTCTCCCAGAAGACCTGGGTTCGATTCCCAGCACTCACATGGCAGCTAACAACTGTCGGTAACTCCAGTTCTAGGGGATCTGATGCCCTCTCTGGCCTCTACAGTCTTTGCACTTACACACAAGCAGGCACTACACTCATACACATAAAATAAAAATAACAAAATATTTTTTTTTTAAACTAAGGCATAGAGGAGAAAAGTATTCTCCAACATCCCTTAGAAATTAACCTTTAAGATTATTTTTGCCAGGTCTCTAAGTTCCATACTGCAAATATAATAACTCAATGCATAAGGGTATAAAGGAGGGATTTAAAAGGTATGTTTTTTCATTCTTTCATTTTCAGGGTTTCTAACATAGTCACAATTGGGCTTGTTGACGGTTGTGCTCATTCATTAAAGGAGTGCCAAGCAGGGTCACTGGACCCTCACCTGAGTATCCAGCCACTCTTCCTAGCCAACCAGTCCAGCCTTGGAAGACAAAAGAAAAATGAGGAAGAACCCAATAGAAGGATGCTTTTGGAAGCCCTTGTAAAGAAATTCCAGTGGACACTCACATGAACATTTGAAAATTGCCCTGTTCTGACTTTTTT